ACGTCGTAGGACGTAGTAGCACGTAGTAGCACGTAGTAGCACGTAGTAGCACGTAGTAGCACGTAGTAGCACGTAGTAGCACGTAGTAGCACGTAGTAGCACGTAGTAGCACGTAGTAGCACGTAGTAGCACGTAGTAGCACGTAGTAGCACGTAGTAGCACGTAGTAGCAGTAGTAGTAGTAGAGGTAGGAGGTAGGAGGTAGGAGGTAGGAGGTAGGAGGTAGTAGGTAGTAGGTAGTAGGTAGTAGGTAGTAGTAGTAGTAGGAGTAGTAGTAGTAGGTAGTAGTAGTAGTAGGTAGTAGTAGGTAGTAGTAGGTAGTAGTAGGTAGTAGTAGGTAGTAGTAGGTAGTAGTAGGTAGTAGTAGGTAGTAGTAGGTAGTAGTAGGTAGTAGTAGGTAGTAGTAGGTAGTAGTAGGTAGGTAGTAGGTAGTAGTAGGTAGTAGTAGGTGGCAGTAGGTAGTAGTAGGTGGCAGTAGGTGGCAGTAGGTGGCAGTAGGTGGCAGTAGGTGGCAGTAGGTAGCAGTAGGTAGCAGTAGGTAGCAGTAGGTAGCAGTAGGTAGGTAGCAGTAGGTAGGTAGCAGTAGGTAGGTAGCAGTAGGTAGGTAGCAGTAGGTAGGTAGCAGTAGGTAGGTAGCAGTAGGTAGGTAGTAGTAGGTAGGTAGTAGTAGGTAGGTAGTAGTAGGTAGGTAGTAGTAGGTAGGTAGTAGTAGGTAGGTAGTAGTAGGTAGGTAGTAGTAGGTAGGTAGTAGTAGGTAGGTAGTAGTAGGTAGGTAGTAGTAGTAGGTAGGTAGTAGTAGGTAGGTAGTAGTAGTAGGTAGGTAGTAGTAGGTAGGTAGCAGTAGGTAGGTAGCAGTAGGTAGGTAGGAGTAGGTAGGTAGTAGTAGGTAGTAGTAGGTAGTAGTAGGTAGTAGTAGGTAGTAGTAGGTAGTAGTAGGTAGTAGTAGGTAGTAGTAGGTAGTAGTAGGTGGGTAGGTAGGTAGGTAGTAGTAGTAGTAGGTAGTAGTAGGTAGTAGTAGGTAGTAGTAGCAGTAGTATTAGTAGTAGTAGTAGCAGTAGCATTCTGCGGTCGCAGTCTCAGTTGTAGTCGTGGTCGCGTTGTTGTTGGTGATGTTGGTGCTGTCTTTTTGTTGGAGGCTTTTTTAGGTGCTAGGATCGGTGGTGCTGGCAGCTATTTTTTTTCGATTGGGCTGGCTGGTGAGCGGCACATGTTGGGTGCTGCAGGAAGTGATTGAGATGCTCAGCTTGACACAGGGTTACGGGGATCTGCCTCAGTGCCTGTGGGACTGGACGCCCCCGCACCATGATCTCGCTGATGGCCCGGTCCATCGAGATGAGTGCCTGGAGTATTCCTCTGAAAAAATGAAAGGGCCCGATAAAGGCATGAAAATTTGTCAGTGCCCCGTACTGCGCAAAGGCAAGCGTACGGTCGGGTACTTCTCCGCGCCTGAGTGCCTTTGACGGCATGCTCGATGGAAAAGATTGCAAAAGGTTTCATCATATGTGCGCAGTCTTCGCGCACCTGCAGACAAAAGGGGTAGTTCCCAAAAGCACCCCTGAAAGGGGTCCCTCCGAAGAGAAACTACCCATATATGCATTCTCAGCATCTTCCTCTTCATCTTTATCTTCATCATCTTCGTCAGTCTTATTTTCGACATCATCTTCTTCTTCTGAACCATCATGGTCTTCACCACCATCATCATCACCATCATCATCATCATCGTCATCGTCATCGTCACCAACATCACCATCTCGGAGTGTGAATTGTCGAGTGCAGAGTGCGGGGTGTGATGTGGGAAGGGGTGTGTAGAGGGTGGAGAGCGTGGACTGTGGAGTGCGGACTGTAAAGTGCAACCCTTTCGCACGAAATGGACTTTGGACGTCAAAAACTGAGGTAAAATTGCGATTTTACTTGGCCCATCGCAACCCTTTCGCACGAAATGGACGTTGAATGTCAAAAACTGAGGTAAAATTGCGAATTTAGTTAGTCCATCGCAATCCTTTCGCACGAAATGGACGTTGGATGTCAAAAATTGAGGTAAAATTGCGAATTTGAAGTATCCATCGCAACCCTTTCGCACGAAATGGACGTTGGACGTCAAAAACTGAGGTAAAATTGCGATTTTACTTGGCCCATCGCAACCCTTTCGCACGAAATGGACGTTGGACGTCAAAAATTGAGGTAAAATTGCGATTTTGAAGTATCCATCGCAACGCTTTCGCACGAAATGGACGTGGGACGTCAAAAACTGAGGTAAAATTGCGATTTTGATTTTTAGAAATGCAGTGAGCCAAGTATGTCAAACCTGCCCGGCCGACGTGAACATGCAGCCTGCAGTGCAGGCTAAAAATGCCAGCTAAAACATGGCAGGGAGACGCAAGCTATCTATCATGTATGTCAAACTTGCCAGGGCAATGTCAACATGCCGCCTGAAAGCCAAAAATGCTAGCTAAAACAAGCTAAAACATGGCAGGGAGCCGCAAGCCAGGGCGACGTGATCATGCCGTCTGAGGCCAAAAATGCCAGCTAAAACAAGCTAAAACATGGCAGGGAGACGCAAGCCATCTATCATGTATGTCAAACCTGCCAGGGCGACGTGAACATGCCGCCTGAAAGCCAAAAATGCAAGCTAAAACATGGCAGGGAGACGCAAGCTATCAGCTATCTATCATGTATGTCAAACCTGCCAGGGCAACGTGAACATGCCGCCTGAAGGCCAAAAATGCCAGCTAAAACATGTCAGGGAGACGCAAGCTATCTATCCTGTATGTCAAACTTGCGAGGGCCACGTGAACATGCCGCCTGAAGGCCAAAAAAAAAATACCAGCTAAAACATGGCAGGGAGACGGAAGCTATCTATCTAACAATCTATCTATCTATCTATCTACCCATCCATCCCTCCATGCATCCATCCATCTATCTATCGATCTATCTATCTATCTATC